TCTTTCCCTCCCTCCCTCCCTCCCTCCGAAAAACACGTGCTTACCAGCAAAATCGCCAAGCTGCCGGCTGGTCGCCTGTTTAGCTAGCTAGCTCTCCCGAGTAGTGCCTGGTGCATGTCCGGGTAGTAGATGGTTGCACACAATTGTGTGCGGCAGAGAAGTGAACCGGAACCGTCTCGTGCATTCTCATCATCACCATCATCATCACCTCGTGCATTTTGGGGAATTGGATGCATCCCTCCACCAGGTTTACATCCGTTCTGCACCCCGATGATCCATACATGATCCATGCGTCGGCATGCATGCAGACGCCGTCGCGCACCACGTCCAAAAGGGGAGTTGCGGGAATCGAACCCACGACCTCTCGCACCCGAAGCGAGAATCATACCACTAGACCAAACTCCCTCTTGCTTCTCCTGAGGGGACCGAGTTGCCCCTTATATACACCTTGTACTGCAGCTGCTATACACACACATCCGTATAGCACGCGTGTGTATAGCGTACGCACGCGCGCATACACACAGACACGCACACACACAGACACGCACACGCACACGTGTGCACACACACACAATTATTATTATTATTATTATTATTGTTACACCGGTGTCCGCTCAACCTGGCGTGTGTTAAGGGGGGAACACTCTGAGGTCTGCACTTAGTCAGTCCTATATGCTATATTCCCACCGCGTCACCTCTACGGGCCCTTTTTCCACCCTAGAGTTCCACCTATCGTTGGTGCGGACGCCACACTGTCGCTGTGGAACACAACCAGCTATCGCAACCTGCCGGAGTCTGGTGCTCCTGTTATATCTTCAGGCCACGTGCATGTCGCACCGCCTCCCTACCCTTACACTACTGCACTCTACACAGCACCCTGCGCTTTGTCCTGGCGGAGGGTAGTTAGCCCCCTACGACCCGCTTCACCCGCTGGGGAACTCCGCACCCCTCGTAGAGGTCACCATCTAAGGCTCGTGCGAGGTTCGGCCTAGCCATGTTACAGTAGCCTCTTGGTAGGTACTTTGCTTGGACAGCTCCATTGACCTTGTGCAGCCATTTCCTCCTCCTCCTCGGCGCCTAGCCTTCTGATGATGGACTTGTCATCACATACACCACGGGTTGCCCTGAGGAATGCCTCATATATGCTGATACATTATCGGTGAACAAGTCTCACAACCCATGGTGACGCCGGTGGGAGTCGAATCCACATCTCCCACCGGTTAAGGTGGTGCTTTACCAGTTAAGCTACGGCGCCGCACACACACACAACACACACACACACACACACATTCACGTACGACAATGCACGAGGCGCAATCGCGCAACTATTATGATGATAATTTCTTGAAGGGGATCGGGAAAGATATGGCGCATCATAGAAACATCCACTTACAAGCAAGGAGATAGATAGAGTCGACTCTATCAAACAACCTCATGCATATGGCTGTAATTATGAACCACATGAATGATGATATACGTAATAATATATCATTAACCATAAACACACATATACAATAATATGTAATAACTCATTATATACCTGGTATATATACCTGGTATCGCTACCCCGCTGTACTATCTAGCTAGTTATTATACATATATAGCACTCGTGGAACGGAACTATCTTAAGATGCCACTTATCCGCTTAGTAATTACTTAGGGCCATCTTGGTACCAACTACAGTGATACTTACCAACGGCGATAAGAGCTTCGTATGTCGCAGCTCTACTAGCTAACTGCCAAACACACAAAGTAACGTTAATATCTTTTTTCTTATCTCACAGAACTAAGCAAGAATGTTACAAAAGCTCTTGCAGCGCTGCAAGGTATTTAGCTTACATCTGTCCCAGATTTAAAATTTTCGTAAATGTGAGCCCGAACAGCTCAACAGTGGCAGTGAAATGTCAATCTTACACCTCCAGAAAGTAATTCCTTACTTAGAATCATCTATTGAGCAAGCATTTGCCCCTAGTAAATGTTACTTCATATTTGTTTGAAGTTCTTGATATTCATTACTTCATAATTGCTTGATCATGAAGTTCTTAATAAATGTCACTTAATATTTGTTTGGAGGACTTAGTATTCGGGACTAAGCGCTTCGAGTACCATTAGTATGTAACATGATACTAAGTGACCTACTAAGCGGCCTATTAAGAATGTTACCAGGTAGCTATGAAGGACATATGAAGTGGGTAGCACTAAGATGGTATTAAGAAGATACTAAGTGGTGGCGTTCCACGAGTGTAGATAATATATGCACCACACAATTAATATCCAAGCATTTC